TTTTTGTTTGTCCACCCGCCTCTTGAGGATCGACCACAAGTTCTCAATGGGATTAAGGTCTGAGGAGTTTCCTGGCCATGGACCCAAAATGTCGATGTTTTGTTCCCCGAGCCACTTAGTTATCACTTTTGCCTTATGGCAAGGTGCTCCATCATGCTGGAAAAGGCATTGGTCGTCACCAAACTGTTCTTGGATGGTTGGGAGAAGTTGCTCTCGGAGGATGTGTTGGTACCATTCTTTATTCATGGCTGTGTTCTTAGACAAAATAGTGAGTGAGCCCACTCCCTTGGCTGAGAAGCAACCCCACACATGAATGGTCTCAGGATGCTTTACTGTTGGCATGACACAGGACTGATGGTAGCGCTCACCTTGTCTTCTACGGACAAGGTGTTTTCCGGATGCCCCAAACAATCGGAAAGGGGATTCATCAGAGAAAATGACTTTACCCCAGTCCTCAGCAGTCCAAACCCTGTACCTTTTGCAGAATATCAGTCTGTCCCCTGATGTTTTTCCTGGAGAGAAGTGGCTATTTGTGTCATTCTCAAAACTTTTGACCACTACACTAAATCAAGTTGAATCACTGTAATATGACTAGAGATTATACACCACACCCTGTAATATTCCTAGAGATTATACACCACACACTGTAATATGACTAGAGATTATACACCACACACTGTAATATGACTAGAGATTATACACCACACACTGTAATATGACTAGAGATTATACACCACACACTGTAATATGACTAGAGATTATACACCACACCCTGTAATATTCCTAGAGATTATACACCACACCCTGTAATATGACTAGAGATTATACACCACACCCTGTAATATGACTAGAGATTATACACCACACACTGTAATATGACTAGAGATTATACACCACACACTGTAATATGACTAGAGATTATACACCACACACTGTAATATGACTAGAGATTATACACCACACCCTGTAATATGACTAGAGATTATACACCACACACTGTAATATGACTAGAGATTATACACCACACCCTGTAATATGACTAGAGATTATACACCACACACTGTAATATGACTAGAGATTATACACCACACCCTGTAATATGACTAGAGATTATACACCACACCCTGTAATATGACTAGAGATTATACACCACACACTGTAATATGACTAGAGATTATACACCAAACACTACACTGTAATATGACTAGAGATTATACACCACACCCTGTAATATGACTAGAGATTATACACCACACACTGTAATATGACTAGAGATTATACACCACACACTGTAATATGACTAGAGATTATACACCACACCACTGTAATATGACTAGAGATTATACACCACACACTGTAATATGACTAGAGATTATACACCACACACTGTAATATGACTAGAGATTATACACCACACCCTGTAATATTCCTAGAGATTATACACCACACACTGTAATATGACTAGAGATTATACACCACACACTGTAATATGACTAGAGATTATACACCACACACTGTAATATGACTAGAGATTATACACCACACACTGTAATATGACTAGAGATTATACACCACACCCTGTAATATGACTAGAGATTATACACCACACACTGTAATATGACTAGAGATTATACACCACACCCTGTAATATGACTAGAGATTATACACCACACACTGTAATATGACTAGAGATTATACACCACACACTGTAATATGACTAGAGATTATACACCACACCCTGTAATATGACTAGAGATTATACACCACACACTGTAATATGACTAGAGATTATACACCACACACTGTAATATGACTAGAGATTATACACCACACCCTGTAATATGACTAGAGATTATACACCAAACACTGTAATATGACTAGAGATTATACACCACACCCTGTAATATGACTAGAGATTATACACCACACACTGTAATATGACTAGAGATTATACACCACACCCTGTAATATGACTAGAGATTATACACCACACCCTGTAATATGACTAGAGATTATACACCACACACTGTAATATGACTAGAGATTATACACCACACACTGTAATATGACTAGAGATTATACACCACACACTGTAATATGACTAGAGATTATACACCACACACTGTAATATGACTAGAGATTATACACCACACACTGTAATATGACTAGAGATTATACACCACACACTGTAATATGACTAGAGATTATACACCACACACTGTAATATGACTAGAGATTATACACCACACCCTGTAATATGACTAGAGATTATACACCACACCCTGTAATATGACTAGAGATTATACACCACACCCTGTAATATGACTAGAGATTATACACCAAACACTACACTGTAATATGACTAGAGATTATACACCAAACACTACACTGTAATATGACTAGAGATTATACACCACACCCTGTAATATGACTAGAGATTATACACCACACCCTGTAATATGACTAGAGATTATACACCACACCCTGTAATATACCTAGAGATTATACACCACACCCTGTAATATGACTAGAGATTATACACCACACCCTGTGATATGACTAGAGATTATACACCACACACTGTAATATGACTAGAGATTATACACCACACCCTGTAATATGACTAGAGATTATACACCACACACTGTAATATGACTAGAGATTATACACCACACACTGTAATATGACTAGAGATTATACACCACACCCTGTAATATGACTAGAGATTATACACCACACACTGTAATATGACTAGAGATTATACACCACACCCTGTAATATGACTAGAGATTATACACCACACCCTGTAATATGACTAGAGATTATACACCACACCCTGTAATATGACTAGAGATTATACACCACACACTGTAATATGACTAGAGATTATACACCACACCCTGTAAAATGACTAGAGATTATACACCACACACTGTAATATGACTAGAGATTATACACCACACACTGTAATATGACTAGAGATTATACACCACACCCTGTAATATGACTAGAGATTATACACCACACCCTGTAATATGACTAGAGATTATACACCACACACTGTAATATGACTAGAGATTATACACCACACACTGTAATATGACTAGAGATTATACACCACACACTGTAATATGACTAGAGATTATACACCACACACTGTAATATGACTAGAGATTATACACCACACACTGTAATATGACTAGAGATTATACACCACACCCCACTGTAATATGACTAGAGATTATACACCACACCCTGTAATATGACTAGAGATTATACACCACACCCTGTAATATGACTAGAGATTATACACCACACCCTGTAATATGACTAGAGATTATACACCACACACTGTAATATGACTAGAGATTATACACCACACCCTGTAATATGACTAGAGATTATACACCACACCCTGTAATATGACTAGAGATTATACACCACACCACTGTAATATGACTAGAGATTATACACCACACCCTGTAATATGACTAGAGATTATACACCACACCTGTAATATGACTAGAGATTATACACCACACACTGTAATATGACTAGAGATTATACACCACACACTGTAATATGACTAGAGATTATACACCACACCCTGTAATATGACTAGAGATTTATACACCAAACACTGTAATATGACTAGAGATTATACACCACACACTGTAATATGACTATAGAACGACTTATACACCCACACCCTGTAATAGACTAGAGATTATACACCCACACACTGTAATATGGACTATAGATTATACACCACACACTGTAATATGACTAGAGATTATACACCACACCCGTTGTAATATGACTAGAGATTATACACCACACACTGTAATATGACTAGAGATTATACACCACACACTGTAATATGACTAGAGATTATACACCACACACTGTAATATGACTAGAGATTATACACCACACACTGTAATATGACTAGAGATGATACACCACACCCTGTAATATGACTAGAGATTATACACCACACCCTGTAATATGACTAGAGATTATTACACCACACCCTGTAATAGACTAGAGATTATACACCAACACTACACTGTTAATATGACTAGAGATATACACCACACCCTGTAATATGACTAGAGATTATACACCACACACTGTAATATGACTAGAGATATACACCACACACTGTAATATGACTAGAGATTATACACCACACACTGTAATAGGACTAGAGATTATACACCACACACTGTAATATGACTAGAGATTATACACCACACACTGTAATATGACTAGAGATTATACACCACACACTGTAATATGACTAGAGATTATACACCACACCCTGTAATATGACTAGAGATTATACACCACACCCTGTAATATGACTAGAGATTATACACCACACCACTGTAATATGACTAGAGATTATACACCACACACTGTATATGACTAGAGATTATTACACCACACACTGTAATATGAACTAGAGATTATACACCACACCCTGTAATATGACTAGAGATTATTACACCACACCCTGTAATATGGACTAGAGATTATACACCACACCCTGTAATATGACTAGAGATTATTACACCACACCCTGTAATATGACTAGAGATTATACACCACACCCTGTAATATGACTAGAGATTATACACCACACACTGTAATATGACTAGAGATTATACACCACACCACTGTAATATGACTAGATATTATACACCACACACTGTAATATGACAGAGATTATACACCACACACTGTAATATGACTAGAGATTATACACCACACACTGTAATATGACTAGAGATTATACACCACACCCTGTAATATGACTAGAGATTATACACCACACCCTGTAATATGACTAGAGATTATACACCACACACTGTAATATGACTAGAGATTATACACCACACACTGTAATATGACTAGATATTATACACCACACACTTGTAATATGACTAGAGATTATACACCACACACTGTAATATGACTAGAGATTATACACCACACACTGTAATATGACTAGAATTATACACCACACACTGTAATATGACTAGAGATTATACACCACACCCTGTAATATGACTAGAGATTATACACCACACCCTGTAATATGACTAGAGATTATACACCACACCCTGTAATATGACTAGAGATTATACACCACACCCTGTAATATGACTAGAGATTATACACCAAACACTACACTGTAATATGACTAGAGATTATACACCACACCCTGTAATATGACTAGAGATTATACACCACACCCTGTAATATGACTAGAGATTATACACCACACCCTGTAATATGACTAGAGATTATACACCACACCCTGTAATATGACTAGAGATTATCACACACACACTGTAATATGACTAGAGATTATACACCACACACTGTAATATGACTAGAGATTATACACCACACACTGTAATATGACTAGAGATTATACACCACACCCTGTAATATGGACTAGAGATTATACACCACACACTGAATAGGACTAGAGAGTAACACAACCCTTATTGTCTAGAGATTATACACCACACACTGTAATATGACTAGAGATTATACACCCACACACTGTAATATGACTAGGATTATTACACCAACCCCTGTAATATGACTAGAGATTATACACCACACACTGTAATAATGACGAGATTGATTATACCACCACACCACTGTACATATGACTAGAGATTATACACCACACACTGTAATATGACTAGAGGATATACACCACACACTGTAATATGACTAGAGATTATACACCACACCCTGTAATATGACTAGAGATTATACACCACACCCTGTAATATGACTAGAGATTATACACCACACCCTGTAATATGACTAGAGATTATACACCACACCCTGTAATATGACTAGAGATTATACACCACACCCTGTAATATGACTAGAGATTATACACCACACACTGTAATATGACTAGAGATTATACACCACACCCTGTAATATGACTAGAGATTATACACCACACACTGTAATATGACTAGAGATTATACACCACACACTGTAATATGACTAGAGATTATACACCACACACTGTAATATGACTAGAGATTATACACCACACCCTGTAATATGACTAGAGATTATACACCACACCCTGTAATATGACTAGAGATTATACACCACACACTGTAATATGACTAGAGATTATACACCACACACTGTAATATGACTAGATATTATACACCACACACTGTAATATGACTAGATATTATACACCACACACTGTAATATGACTAGAGATTATACACCACACACTGTAATATGACTAGATATTATACACCACACACTGTAATATGACTAGATATTATACACCACACACTGTAATATGACTAGATATTATACACCACACACTGTAATATGACTAGAGATTATACACCACACACTGTAATATGACTAGAGATTATACACCACACACTGTAATATGACTAGAGATTATACACCACACCCTGTAATATGACTAGAGATTATACACCACACACTGTAATATGACTAGAGATTATACACCACACCCTGTAAAATGACTAGAGATTATACACCACACACTGTAATATGACTAGAGATTATACACCACACACTGTAATATGACTAGATATTATACACCACACACTGTAATATGACTAGAGATTATACACCACACACTGTTAATATGACTAGATATTATACACCACACACTGTAATATGACTAGATATTATACACCACACACTGTAATATGACTAGAGATTATACACCACACACTGTAATATGACTAGAGATTATACACCACACACTGTAATATGACTAGAGATTATACACCACACACTGTAATATGACTAGAGATTATACACCACACCCTGTAATATGACTAGAGATTATACACCACACACTGTAATATGACTAGAGATTATACACCACACACTGTAATATGACTAGAGATTATACACCACACACTGTAATATGACTAGAGATTATACACCACACACTGTAATATGACTAGAGATTATACACCAAACACTGTAATATGACTAGAGATTATACACCACACCCTGTAATATGACTAGAGATTATACACCACACCCTGTAATATGACTAGAGATTATACACCACACCCTGTAATATGACTAGAGATTATACACCAAACACTTGGGGTTTATCTGTCTGTCCCCCCCCCCCCCCCCTCTTCACCACTCTGTTCTGTACTACTGATTGGACCTGGAGTGGTTCTCAGTGTCCTGAGGATGCTTACAGTGATGTAATGTGTTGAAATGATGCTGTGTGTGTGTGTGTGTGTGTGTGTGTGTGTGTGTGTGTGTGTGTGTGTGTGTGTGTGTGTGTGTCTCTAACCCATCATTAGGGCACCAGGGTTTTAGCAGCGTCATATGATAAATCAGCTCTGTTCTGGCGGCTGGATGACTCTGTTCCCAAGGTAACCAAGCGACCAGGCTGATACACACAGTTACACACACACACACACACACACACACACAGTTACACACACACACACACACACACACACATTTACACACACATATATATTGTGGAGCTGGATAGGGTCTGTTCAGGGTGTCTGTGTAATGAAGACAGAGCAGTGTAGTGTAATCTGTACCAATGACAAGATCCCTTTTACTCCCCGGTGTTGGTTGACTTAATAACGATAGGAACGTTTGTTATGAAACTGTTTCCAGAGTATTTGCAATATTTTGAAGCAAAAGGATGATTAAAAGATTGTGGATGGAGAACAGGGTTAATAGTACATTTTTATATGACCTCTGTTTAGAGAGATTGGAGAGATAGTGATGAGTGTAAAAATATAAATACTCTTGTTTAGAATGATGACCCAGCTGAGGAAAACGGTGTGTGTGTGTGTGTGTGTGTGTGGTGTGTGTGTGGTGTGTGGTGTGTGGTGTGTGGTGTGTGGTGTGTGGTGGTGTGTGTGTGGTGTGTGTGTGTGTGTGTGTGTGTGTGTGTGTGTGTGTGTGTCTGTGTGTGTGTCTGTGTGTGTGTCTGTGTGTCTGTGTGTTGTGTGTGTTGTGTGTGTTGTGTGTGTTGTGTGTGTGTGTGTGTGTGGTGTGTGTGTGTGTGTGTGTGTGTGTGTGTGGCTACTCCACAGATCACTCTGACCGGCCACTCGCGTAAAGTGACAGCAGCCAAGTTTAAATGCAGCCTGCGGCAGGTGGTGACAGGAAGTGCAGACAGGACCGTGAAGATCTGGGATCTCCACCGCGCTGCTTGTAAGTTATTGACTGACCTTACTCTAACCCTGACCCCTGACCCTACAGTGACCCCTGGCCGTAATCCTTCAGAGAAATGGACAAATAGGTTCTATCGCTCTCCCCCCCAGGTATCCAGACCATTGAGGTTCTATCTCTCTCCCCAACCCTCCCCCCCAGGTATCCAGACCATTGAGGTTCTATCTTACTGCAGTGATGTGGTGTGTTCTGACCACGTCATCATCAGTGGACACTATGACAGGAAGATACGCTTCTGGGACAGCAGGTAGGAATATTCCCATATAGCTGTAACCCTAACCATATATACTGACCAGTAGCATTACAGCGCTACTCTGTACTGACCAGTAGCATTACAGCGCTACTCTGTACTGACCAGTAGCATTACAGTGCTACTCTGTACTGACCAGTAGCATTACAGCGCTACTCTGTACTGACCAGTAGCATTACAGCGCTACTCTACTGACCAGTAGCATTACAGCGCTACTCTACTGACCAGTAGCATTACAGTGCTACTCTGTACTGACCAGTAGCATTACAGCGCTACTCTACTGACCAGTAGCATTACAGCGCTACTCTGTACTGACCAGTAGCATTACAGCGCTACTCTGTACTGACCAGTAGCATTACAGCGCTACTCTGTACTGACCAGTAGCATTACAGCGCTACTCTGTACTGACCAGTAGCATTACAGCGCTACTCTCTACTGACCAGTAGCATTACAGCGCTACTCTGTACTGACCAGTAGCATTACAGCGCTACTCTGTACTGACCAGTAGCATTACAGCGCTACTCTGTACTGACCAGTAGCATTACAGCGCTACTCTGGACTGACCAGTAGCATTACAGCGCTACTCTGTACTGACCAGTAGCATTACAGTGCTACTCTGTACTGACCAGTAGCATTACAGCGCTACTCTGTACTGACCAGTAGCATTACAGCGCTACTCTGGACTGACCAGTAGCATTACAGCGCTACTCTGTACTGACCAGTAGCATTACAGCGCTACTCTACTGACCAGTAGCATTACAGCGCTACTCTACTGACCAGTAGCATTACAGCGCTACTCTGTACTGACCAGTAGCAATACAGCGCTACTCTCTACTGACCAGTAGCAATACAGCGCTACTCTCTACTGACCAGTAGCATTACAGCGCTACTCTCTACTGACCAGTAGCATTACAGCGCTACTCTACTGACCAGTAGCATTACAGCGCTACTCTGTACTGACCAGTAGCATTACAGCGCTACTCTCTACTGACCAGTAGCATTACAGCGCTACTCTGTACTGACCAGTAGCATTACAGCGCTACTCTGGACTGACCAGTAGCATTACAGCGCTACTCTACTGACCAGTAGCATTACAGCGCTACTCTGTACTGACCAGTAGCATTACAGCGCTACTCTGTACTGACCAGTAGCATTACAGCGCTACTCTGTACTGACCAGTAGCATTACAGCGCTACTCTGGACTGACCAGTAGCATTACAGCGCTACTCTACTGACCAGTAGCATTACCAGAGTACTCTGTACTGACCAGTAGCATTACAGCGCTACTCTGTACTGACCAGTAGCATTCACAGCGCTACTCTGTACTGACCAGTAGCATTACAAGCGCTACTCTGTACTGACCAGTAGCATTACAGCGCTACTCTGTACTGACCAGTAGCATTACAGCGCTACTCTGTACTGACCAGTAGCATTACAGCGCTACTCTGTACTCTGCCAGTATGTTATTTTTTATCTTGCACTAAGTTGTCTGTGACTGTTGAGTCTTTGAGGTCTGAAGCGTCTAGCTCTTAAAGACTGAACCTGTCTGCTTTCATTCTGAGATGGCTCAGTGAAATCGGAATAATGACCTCAGAATTTGCCAGAAGAGATCTACCTCAATTCCCCGTTTTTTTTCCCCCAAAAACCCCCAACCCCTGACTACAAAGTCTGTCTCTCCCCCAACCCCCCCTTTTTTTCCCCCCTAAAAACCCCCCTGACTCATTCTGTTTTCTCCCCTAACCCCTAACCCTGACTACATTCGGGCTCTCCCCAAACCCCCAACCCCCGACCAATGTCCCCGTCCCCCTCCCCCAACCCCTAACCCCAACCCCCGACTAAAATTTTTCTCTCTCCCCTAACCCCGACTACATTCTGTTTTCCTCCCCTAACCCCCCAACCCCGGGCCACAAAGTCTGTTTTTTTTTTTCCCCCTTTTTCTCCCCTAACCCAACCCTGACCCACATTCCCGTCCCCTCCCCTAAACCCGGCTAATTCGGGCTCCCCCCTAACCCCTAAACCCCCAAACCCCACTACAAAAGTCCCGCTCCCCCCTAAACCCCAACCCCCGACTTTCAAAGTCGTTCCCCTTTTCCCCCCAACCCCTAAACCCCGGGCTACATGTCTTTCTCCCCCCCTTTAAACCCCAACCCTGACTACTTCTTTTTTCCCCCCCCCCCTTTTCCCCCCCTAACCTCTAAAACCCCCAACCCCGACTACTTCCCGTTTTTCTCCCCAACCCCTAACCCTGACTACAGGGCTGTCTCTCCCCCAACCCCTAACCCTGAAAATACATTTCTGTCCCTCCCCCCTAACCCCTAACCCCTAACCCCGACTACATGTCTTCCCCTCCCCTAACCCCACTAAAAATGTCTGTTTTTCTTCCCCCAACCCCCAAAACCCCGACCTACATGTCCTGTTTTCTTTTCCCCCCAACCCCCCAAACCCCGGAAATCATGTCTGGTCCCCTCCCCCAACCCTGACTCCTGTCTGTTTTCCCCCCCCCTAACCCTAACCCCTAACCCCACTACATTTTTGTCTCTCCCCTAACCCCTAACCCCATACATGGCCCGTTTTCCTCCCCTAACCCCCCAACCCCCACTACTGTTTTTGTCCCCTCCCCAACCCCTAACCCTGACTACAAAGTTTTTGTTTTTTCTCCCCTAACCCCCCACCCCTAACCCCGACTACATGTCTGTCCTTTTTCCCCCCAAAAACCCCCAAACCCCCACTACTGTCTGTCCCCTCCCCTAACCCCCAACCCCCCACTACATGTCTTGTCTCTCCCCTAAAACCCCGAAATACATGGGCCGGGCCCCCTCCCCTACCCCCCAACCCCTACTAATGTCTGTCCCCCCCCCCCTAACCCCCAAACCCCCAACCCTGCTAAAAGTCTGTTTTTCTCCCCTAACCCCCAACCCCGACACTGTCCCGGGCCCCTCCCCCCAACCCCAAACCCCCAACCCCCCGACTACCCTTTTGTCTCCCCTAAACCCCCAACCCCTAACCCTGACACATGTTTTTTTCCCCCCCCCCCCCCCCCTTTGTTCCCCCCCCCCCCCCCCCCCCCCCCCCCCCTCTCCCCTAAAACCCCCAAACCCTACCCACATGTCCCGTTTTCTCCCCTAACCCCTAACCCTGACTACATGTCGTTCCCCCTCCCCTAAAAACCCCCAACCCTGACACATGTCTGTCCCCCCCTTTCCCCAAAAACCCCCAACCCTGACTACATGTCTGTTTTTCCCCCCCTAACCCCTAACCCTGACTACATGCTGTCCTCCCCTCCCCTAACCCCCGACTACATGTCCCCGTCCCTCCCCCTAACCCCTAACCCTGACTTTCATGTCTGTCTCCCCCCCCCTCCCCCAAACCCCGACTAAAAGTTTTGTCTCTCCCCAACCCCCCCCCCTGACTACATGTTTTTTCTCTCCCCTAAAAACCCCCAAACCCCCAACCCTGCCTACATTCTGTCTCTCCCCTAACCCCAACCCCGACTACATGTCTGTTTTCCCCCCCCCTAACCCCTAAACCCCCGACTACATGTTCCCGTCTCTCCCCTAACCCCCCAAAACCCCGACTACCTTTCTGTCTCTCCCCTAACCCTAACCCCCTGGGTACAATTGGGCCCCTTTCTCCCCTAACCCCTAACCCCCCGATACATGTCTGTTTTCTTCTTTTTCCCCCCAACCCCTAACCCCCCCCCTAACCCTGACTACATGTCTGTCTCTCCCCTAACCCTGACTACATGTCTGTCTCTCCCCTAACCCCTAACCCCTAACCCTGACTACATGTCTGTCTCTCCCCTAACCCCTAACCCTGACTACATGTCTGTCTCTCCCCTAACCCCTAACCCTGACTACATGTCTGTCTCTCCCCTAACCCCTAAACCCTAACCCTGACTACATGTCTGTCTCTCCCCTAACCCCTAACCCTGACTACATGTCTGTCTCTCCCCTAACCCCTACCCTTGACATACATGTCTGTCTCTCTCTCCCTAACCCCATAACCCCTAACCCTGACTACATGTCTGTCTCTCCTCTAACCCCTAACCCTGACTACATGTCTGTTTCTCTCCTAACCTCTCACCCCTAACCCTGATAGACAGTGTCACCAGCAAAGCACCCCCACACCATAACACCTCCTCCTCCATGCTTTACGGTGGGAACTACACATGCGGAGATCATCCGTTCACCCACACCGCGTCTCACAAAGACACAGTGGTTGGAACCAAAAATCTCAAATTTGGACTCCAGACCAAAGGACACATTTCCACCTGTCTAATGTCCATTGCTCGTGTTTCTTGCACCAAGCAGGTCTCTTCTTCTTATTGGTGTCATTTAGTAGTGGTTTCTTTGCAGCAATTCGACAATGAAGGCCTGATTCACACAGTCCCCTCTGAACAGTTGATGTTGAGATGTGTCTGTGACTTGAACTTTGTGAAGCATTTATTTGGGCTGCAATTTCTGAGGCCGTTAACTGTAAAAATCATCTATCCTCGGTTGCAACACTCACTACCGAGTTCCAAACTGCCTCTGGAAGCAACGTCAGCACAATAAGATCACCAATGCCAAGCGTTGGCTGGAGTGATGTGAAGCTCGCCGCAATTTGACTTTTTGGAGCAGTGGAAATGCGTTCTCTGGAGTGATGAGTCACGCTTCACCATCTGGCAGTCCGACGGACGAATCTGGGTTTGGCGGATGCCAAGAGAACGCTACCTGCCCGAATGCATAGTGCCAACTGTAAAGTTTGGTGGAGGAGGAATGAGGCTGTTTTTCATGGTTCGAGCTAGGCCCCTTAGTTCCAGTGAAGGGAAATCTTAATGCTACAGCATACAATGAAATTCTAGACGATTCTGTGCTTCCAACTTTGTGGCAACAGTTTGGGGAAGGCCCTTTCCTGTTTCAGCATGACAATGCCCGCATGCACAAAGCGAGGTCCATATAGAAATGGTTTGTCGAGATCGATGTGGAAGAACTTGACTGGCCTGCACAGAGCCCTGACCTCAACCCCATCGAACACCTTTGGGATGAATTGGAATGCCGACTGCGAGCCAGGCCTAATCGCCCAACCTCACTAATGCTCTTGTGGCTGAATGGCAGCAAGTCCCCGCAGCAATGTTCCAACATCTATTGAAAAGCCTTCCCAGAAGAGTGGAGGCTGTTATAGCAGCGAAGGGAGTACCGACTCCATATTAACGCCATTGATTCTGGAATGAGATGTTCGACGAGCATGTGTCAACATACCTTTGGTCATGTAGTGTATAGGGTCAGGGTTAGTTAATGGTAGCTATAGGGTTAGGGTTAGCTAACGTTAGATATAGAGTTTTGCTAACGTTAGATATAGGGTTAGCTAACGTTAGATATAGGGTTAGCTAACGTTAGATATAGGGTTAGCTAACGTTAGATATAGGGTTAGCTAACGTTAGATATAGGGTTAGCTAACGTTAGATATAGGGTTAGCTAACGGTAGCTATAGGGTTAGGGTTAGCTAACGTTAGATATAGGGTTAGCTAACGGTAGATATAGGGTTAGCTAACGGTAGCTATAGGGTTAGCTAACGGTAGTTATAGGGTTAGCTAACGGTAGCTATAGGGTTAGCTAACGGTAGCTATAGGGTTAGCTAACGGTAGCTATAGGGTTAGCTAACGGTAGCTATAGGGTTAGCTAACTGTAGCTATAGGGTTAGGGTTAGCTAACGTTAGATATAGGGTTAGGGTTAGATATAGGGTTAGGGTTAGATATAGGGTTAGGGTTAGATATAGGGTTAGCTAACGGTAGATATAGCCTCTTCTGTTTGGTATCAGCTGGGCTAACTGACGTTCTGTTAACACCTTCACAGTAATGTGGTTAATTGATACCCCAGCCAGTTATATTTATTAATCCGTCCTGATATAGTTGTAATGGCATTGTCCAAACTAATTAGCATTACATGTGTTATGTTTTGAGCTATTATTATGGTCATTATGTTCAGTGTCTTACTTTTTCAACAGTACAGTAGATCAGCTTGTATAGCTGACAGATGACGTGATCACCACAGAACATACTGGCAATATGATCCTGTTCAGCTCTCCTCTCTCTGATCTACCATTTAATACATTATCTCTACTTGCTTCTCTCTACATTACCACGGACATTATATTGTCTCTACATTACTATGTGCATGTTCTCTATTCCCTGCTGTGTTCTTCTGTGTGTTGGAGATGATGGTGGTGGTTGTTAGCTCTAAGCAGCAGAAGAGCCCCCCTCTCTCTCTCTCTCTCTCTCTCTCTCTCTCTCTCTCTCTCTCTCTCTCTCTCTCTCTCTCTCTCTCTCTCTCTCTCTCTCGACATCTCTCCTTCACTCCCCTGCTAGCCCTCAACTGCAGCCTCTCATGTTCCGCTGTCGCTTAGCAACAGTCAACCCACATAATAGTCTCTCTCAACATCCCCCCCGACCCCCTTCTGTTTTGGGGTTGTCCCTGATATGACATTGGGGAAATTTGCTGCGCAACAATATTTGGTGTTTTAATTCTATATTATTTAGTTTCAGCATGTAGATAGTGAATCACTACAGCCCAACAGACCTGCAGGGTATAACCCTAACCTTACACCCTAATAACAGACCTGCAGGGTATAACCCTAACCTTACACCCTAATAACAGACCTGCAGGGGTATAACCCTAACCTTACACCCTAATAACAGACCTGCAGGGTATAACCCTAACCTTACACCCTAATAACAGACCTGCAGGGTATAACCCTAACCTTACACCCTAATAACAGACCCTGCAGGGTAAACCCTAACCTTACACCCTATAACAGACCTGCAGGGTATAACCCTAACCATACACCCTATAACCGACATGCAGGGTATAACCCTAACCTTACACCCTAATAACAGACCTGCAGGGTATAACCCTAACCTTACACCCTAATAACAGACCTGCAGGGTATAACCCTAACCTTACACCCTAATAACAGACCTGCAGGGTATAACCCTAACCTTACACCCTAATAACAGACCTGCAGGGTATAACCCTAACCTTACCCACCCTAATAACAGACCTGCAGGGTATAACCCTAACCTTACACCCTAATAACAGACCTGCAGGGTATAACCCTAACCTTACACCCTAATAACAGACCTGCAGGGTATAACCCTAACCTTACACCCTAATAACAGACCTGCAGGGTATAACCCTAACCTTACCCCTAATAACAGACCTGCAGGGTATAACCCTAACCTTACACCCTAATAACAGACCTGCAGGGTATAACCCTAACCTTACACCCTAATAACAGACCTGCAGGGTATAACCCTAACCTTACACCCTAATAACAGACCTGCAGGGTATAACCCTAACCTTACACCCTAATAACCAGACCTGCAGGGTATAACCCTAACCTTACACCCTAATAACAGACCTGCAGGGTATAACCCTAACCTTACACCCTAATAACAGACCTGCAGGGTAACCCTAACCTTACACCCTAATAACAGACCTGCAGGGTATAAACCTAACCTTACACCCTAATAACAGACCTGCAGGGTATAACCCTAACCTTACACCCTAATAACAGACCTGCAGGGTATAACCCTAACCTTACACCCTAATAACAGACCTGCAGGGTATAACCCTAACCTTACACCCTAATAACAGACCTGCAGGGTATAACCCTAACCTTACACCCTAATAACGACCTGCAGGGTATAACCCTAACCTTACACCCTAATAACAGACCTGCAGGGTATAACCCTAACCTTACACCCTAATAACAGACCTGCAGGGTATAACCCTAACCTTACACCCTAATAACAGACCTGCAGGGTATAACCCTAACCTTACACCCTAATAACAGACCTGCAGGGTATAACCCTAACCTTACACCCTAATAACCGACCTGCAGGGTATAACCCTAACCTTACACCCTAATAACAGACCTGCAGGGTATAACCCTAACCTTACACCCTAATAACAGACCTGCAGGGTATAACCCTAACCTTACACCCTAATAACAGACCTGCAGGGTATAACCCTAACTACACCTAATAACAGACCTGCAGGGGTAATACCCTAACCTTCACCATAATAACCAGACCTGCAGGGTATAACCCTAACCTTACACCCTAATAACAGACTGCAGGGTATAACCCTAACCTTACACCCCTTTTAATAACAGACCTGCAGGGTAAAACCCTAACCTTACACCCCAATAACAGACCTGCGGGGTATAACCCAACCTACGCCCTAATAACAGACCTGCAGGGTATAACCCTAACCTTACACCCTAATAACAGACCTGCAGGGTATAACCTAACCTTACACCCTAATAACAGACCTGCAGGGTATAACCTAACCTCACACCCTAATAACAGACCTGCAGGGTATAACCCTAACCTTACACCCTAATAAAGACCTGCAGGGGTATAACCTAGCCTTACACCCTAATATACAGAACCTGCATGGTATGGAACCCTAAATCCTTACACCTAATAACAGACCTGCATGGTATAACCCTAACCTTACACCCTAATAACAGACCTGCAGGGTATAACCCTAACCTTACACCCTAATAACAGACCTGCAGGGTATAACCCTAACCTCACACCCTAATAACAGACCTGCAGGGTATAACCCTAACCTTACACCCTAATAACCCTATAACCGACATGCAGGGGGATTTCTGTTTCTCCCTCAGTAGAACCTGCTACTCTTTAATAATTCAAACATTTAATAACTCTGTAGTTTACAGGTCTATGATGTTGATAAATCTTTTCACTATTGTATTACAGTTAGCGACCTGCTACGGTACAGTACAGTAAGGGACATTCTACTAGACCATGTTGAGCTGTGACTCACTGCCTCTCTCCCCTCCCTCCCCTCTCTCCCCTCTCTCCCCTCTCTCCCCTCCCTCCCCTCCTCCTCTCTCCCCTCCCCTCCCCCCAGGGCTGCCAGCTGTACGCAGGAGGTTCCTCTCCAGGGGAAGGTAACGTCTCTGGACATCTCTACTGACCACCGCCAGCTCCTCAGCTGCTCCAGAGACGAGAGTCTGCAGGTGGTCGACCTCCGCATGAACAACTCCAGGGTCTGCTTCAGGTAGCCGGACCAGCGCAGCGTGGTGCTGTAATAATGGACTGTAATACTCAGTGTTGATCCTAGCCCAGTGGGCCGGCAGGTGGCGATATTGATCTGGTATTGATGGTTCCATCTTACCGTCCAAACGCATTGTATGCAGCTGGCAATATACTGGTGTCCCCCGTGGACCAGTTCGTACCCAAAACATGATCCATTCAGGCTGCAAAGGCGTCAATTTCCTCCTTAACTAGATTTAATGGCGAGAAGGTGGAAAATAACTGGGGAAATATGCGTACTTTATTTACGAAACACCATTTTCCAACACCATGCTAAATACAACTTCCTAATGTTACGCCCTGCGTTCAGACGGGTAAACTGTCTGACTGCTGCATCCTGATTGGCTGCAAGCAATACGCAACATCCGGGACTAGCATTCCTAGGTATTAGCCACTTTAGCATGGTGTTGGAAAATGGTGTTTCGTAAATAAAGTACGCATATTTCCCCAGTTATTTTCCACCTTCTCGCCATTAAATCTAGTTAAGGAGGAAATTGACGCCTTTGCACCCTGAATGGATAATGTTTTAGGTACGAACTGGTCCACGGGGGACACCAGTGTATTGCCAGCTGCATACAATGCGTTTGGACGGTAAGATGGAAACGACTCAATATCGCCATCTGCCGGCCTTTGGCCTATGTTGGTCCCTTCCTTTCAGGATCCATTTGCTCTCCTCCACTATAGAGCTAACCCTGGTCTGTCCCCTGACGTGGCTCTCCTCCACTATAGAGCTAACCCTGGTCTGTCCCTGACGTGGCTCTCCTCCACTATAGAGCTAACCCTGGTCTGTCCCTGACGTGGCTCCCTCCACTATAGAGCTAACCCTGGGTCTGTCCCCTGACGTGGCTCTCCTCCACTATAGAGCTAACCCTGGTCTGTTCCCTTAGAGCTAACCCTGGTCTGTCCCCTGACTTGGCTCTCCTTACACTATAGCGCTAACCTGGTCTGTCCCTGCGTGGCTCTCCTACACTATGGCTTAACCCTGGTCTGTCCCGACGTGTTGCTCTCCTCCACTATAAGCTAACCCTGTCTGTCCCTGACTGGCTCTCCTCCACTAAGAGCTAACCTGGTCTGGTCCCTGACGTGGCTCTCCGCCACTATAGAGCCTAACTCCTGGTTCTGTCCCCTGACGTGGCTCTCCTCCACTATAGAGCTAACCCTGGTCTGTCCCTGACGTGGCTTTCTCCTCCACTATAGACTAACCCTGGTCCTGCCCTACTGGCGCTCCGCCACTAATAGAGCTAACCCGGTCTGTCCCGGACGTGCGCTCATCCACATAGAGCTAACCCTGGTCTGTCCCCTGACGTGGCTCTCCTCCACTATAGAGCTAACCCTGGTCTGTCCCCTGACGTGGGCTCTCCTCCACTATAGAGCTAACCCTGGTCTGTCCCTGACGTGGCTCTCCTCCACTATAGAGCTAACCCTGGTCTGTCCCTGACGTGGCTCTCCTCCACTATAGAGCTAACCCTGGTCTGTCCCTGACGTGGCTGCTCCTCCACTATAGAGCTAACCCTGGTCTGTCCCATGACGTGGCTCTCCTCCACTATAGAGCTAACCCTGGTCTGTCCCATGACGTGGCTCTCCTCCCTATAGAGCTAACCCTGGTCTGTCCCCTGACGTGGGCTCTCCTCCACTATAGAGCTAACCCTGGTCTGTCCCTGACGTGGCTCTCCTCCACTATAGAGCTAACCCTGGTCTGTCCCTGACGTGGCTCTCCTCCACTATAGAGCTAACCCTGGTCTGTCCCTGACGTGGCTCTCCTCCACTATAGAGCTAACCCTGGTCTGTCCCTGACGTGGCTCTCCTCCAACTATAGAGCTAACCCTGGTCTGTCCCTGACGTGGCTCTCCTCATATAGAGCTAACCCTGGTCTGTCCCCTGACGTGGCTCTCATCCACTATAGAGCAACCCTGGTCTGTCCCTGACGTGGCTCTCCTCCACTATAGAGCTAACCCTGGTCTGTCCCTGACGTGGCTCTCCTCCACTATAGAGCTAACCCTGGTCTGTCCCTGACGTGGCTCTCCTCCACTATAGAGCTAACCCTGGTCTGTCCCTGACGTGGCTCTCCTCCACTATAGAGCTAACCCTGGTCTGTCCCTGACGTGGCTCTCCTCCACTATAGAGCTAACCCTGGTCTGTCCCTGACGTGGCTCTCCTCCACTATAGAGCTAACCCTGGTCTGTCCCTGACGTGGCTCTCCTCCACTATAGAGCTAACCCTGGTCTGTCCCTGACGTGGCTCTCCTCCACTATAGAGCTAACCCTGGTCTGTCCCTGACGTGGCTCTCCTCCACTATAGAGCTAACCCTGGTCTGTCCCTGACGTGGCTCTCCTCCACTATAGAGCTAACCCTGGTCTGTCCCCTGACGTGGCTCTCCTCCACTATAGAGCTAACCCTGGTCTGTCCCTGACGTGGCTCTCCTCCACTATAGAGCTAACCCTGGTCTGTCCCTGACGTGGCTCTCCTCCACTATAGAGCTAACCCTGGTCTGTCCCTGACGTGGCTCTCCTCCACTATAGAGCTAACCCTGGTCTGTCCCCTGACGTGGCTCTCCTCCACTATAGAGCTAACCCTGGTCTGTCCCTGACGTGGCTCTCCTCCACTATAGAGCTAACCCTGGTCCTGACGTGGCTCTCCTCCACTATAGAGCTAACCCTGGTCTGTCCCCTGACGTGGCTCTCCTCCACTATAGAGCTAACCCTGGTCTGTCCCCTGACGTGGCTCTCCTCCACTATAGAGCTAACCCTGGTCTGTCCCTGACGTGGCTCTCCTCCACTATAGAGCTAACCCTGGTCTGTCCCTGACGTGGCTCTCCTCCACTATAGAGCTAACCCTGGTCTGTCCCTGACGTGGCTCTCCTCCACTATAGAGCTAACCCTGGTCTGTCCCTGACGTGGCTCTCCTCCACTATAGAGCTAACCCTGGTCTGTCCCTGACGTGGCTCTCCTCCACTATAGAGCTAACCCTGGTCTGTCCCTGACGTGGCTCTCCTCCCACTATAGAGCTAACCTGGTCTGTCCCCTGACGTGGCTCTCCTCCACTATAGAGCTAACCCTGGTCTGTCCCTGACGTGGCTCTCCTCCACTATAGAGCTAACCCTGGTCTGTCCCCTGACGTGGCTCTCCTCCACTATAGAGCTAACCCTGTGTGTTAATGTGTCTGATAATTGTCCTTTGTCTCTCATTTCAGAGCTGAGGGCTTCAAATGTGGCTGTGACAGCACCAAGGCTATATTTAGGTGAGCATTTACACTAACTCTATATATACCATGTTAATGATTGTGTAGGATGGTACAGGGGCCTGGGCTTCAACACAGTCTGTAGGATGGTACAGGGGCCTGGGGTTCAACACAGTCTGTAGGATGGTACAGGGGCCTGGGCTTCAACACAGTCTGTAGGATGGTACAGGGGCCTGGGGTTCAACACAGTCTGTAGGATGGTACAGGGGCCTGGGGTTCAACACAGTCTGTAGGATGGTACAGGGCCCTGGGGTTCAACACAGTCTGTAGGATGGTACAGGGGCCTGGGGTTCAACACAGTCTGTAGGATGGTACAGGGGCCTGGGCTTCAACACAGTCTGTAGGATGGTACAGGGGCCTGGGGTTCAACACAGTCTGTAGGATGGTACAGGGGCCTGGGATTCAACACAGTCTGTAGGATGGTACAGGGGCCTGGGCTACAACACAGTCTGTAGGATGGTACAGGGGCCTGGGGTTCAACACAGTCTGTAGGATGGTACAGGGGCCTGGGCTACAACACAGTCTGTAGGATGGTACAGGGGCCTGGGGTTCAACACAGTCTGTAGGATGGTACAGGGGCCTGGGATTCAACACAGTCTGTAGGATGGTACAGGGGCCTGGGATTCAACACAGTATGTAGGATGGTACAGGGGCCTGGGATTCAACACAGTCTGTAGGATGGTACAGGGGCCTGGGGTACAACACAGTCTGTAGGATGGTACAGGGGCCTGGGGTTCAACACAGTCTGTAGGATGGTACTGGGGCCTGGGGTTCAACACAGTCTGTAGGATGGTACTGGGGCCTGGGGTTCAACACAGTCTGTAGGATGGTACAGGGGCCTGGGGTACAACACAGTCTGTAGGATGGTACAGGGGCCTGGGGTTCAACACAGTCTGTAGGATGGTACAGGGGCCTGGGGTTCAACACAGTCTGTAGGATGGTACAGGGGCCTGGGGTTCAACACAGTCTGTAGGATGGTACAGGGGCCTGGGCTTCAACACAGTCTGTAGGATGGTACAGGGGCCTGGGGTTCAACACAGTCTGTAGGATGGTACAGGGGCCTGGGGTTCAACACAGTCTGTAGGATGGTACAGGGGCCTGGGGTACAACACAGTCTGTAGGATGGTACAGGGGCCTGGGGTTCAACACAGTCTGTAGGATGGTACAGGGCCCTGGGGTTCAACACAGTCTGTAGGATGGTACAGGGGCCTGGGGTTCAACACAGTCTGTAGGATGGTACAGGGGCCTGGGGTTCAACACAGTCTGTAGGATGGTACAGGGGCCTGGAGTTCAACACAGTCTGTAGGATGGTACAGGGGCCTGGGGTTCAACACAGTCTGTAGGATGGTACAGGGCCCTGGGGTTCAACACAGTCTGTAGGATGGTACAGGGGCCTGGGGTTCAACACAGTCTGTAGGATGGTACAGGGCCCTGGGGTTCAACACAGTCTGTAGGATGGTACAGGGGCCTGGAGTTCAACACAGTCTGTAGGATGGTACAGGGGCCTGGGGTTCAACACAGTCTGTAGGATGGTACAGGGGCCTGGGGTTCAACACAGTCTGTAGGATTGTACAGGGATATAATACTGCTTAATGAATGTGTATGAGGGTTAGGGAGGGCACAGGACCCCAGGGGGTATAAGACGGTCTACAACATGCTTCATTTGCCAGCTGAGGTTTTATAATGTCCTAGGGGAGTGTAACAGTCACTCCTTATTTCATTGTCTCTCTCCAAGGTCAGCTGGCTACAGATATCAATAGCACCATGCCAGACCCAACCCAGCCTCCTTATCTAGAGACTGATAGATATAAATAATGCATCCAAATATTCATGTGATTCTAACGGCCATACCTGATAGATCCACATCTTTTAATAACACACAGAAGCCATAGTGTGTATATATTTGAGTAAGTAGCACATTATTTGCTGGCTGCCTCCTCACCCATGAAGTGACTTGTATTCTGTTGAAGCTGGCTGCCTCCTCACCCATGAAGTGACTTGTATTCTGTTGAAGCTGGCTGCCTCCTCACCCATGAAGTGACTTGTATTCTGTTGAAGCTGGCTGCCTCCTCACCCATGAAGTGACTTGTATTCTGTTGAAGCTGGCTGCCTCCTCACCCATGAAATGACTTGTATTCTGTTGAAGCTGGCTGCCTCCTCACCCATGAAATGACTTGTATTCTGTTGAAGCTGGCTCCCTCCTCACCCATGAAGTGACTTGTATTCTGTTGAAGCTGGCTGCCTCCTCACCCATGAAATGACTTGTATTCTGTTGAAGCTGGCTGGCTCCTCACCCATGAAGTTACTTGTATTTTGTTGAAGCTGGCTGCCTCCTCACCCATGAAATGACTTGTATTCTGTTGAAGCTGGCTGCCTCCTCACCCATGAAATGACTTGTATTCTGTTGAAGCTGGCTGCCTCCTCACCCATGAAATGACTTGTATTCTGTTGAAGCTGGCTGCCTCCTCACCCATGAAGTGACTTGTATTCTGTTGAAGCTGGCTGCCTCCTCACCCATGAAATGACTTGTATTCTGTTGAAGCTGGCTGCCTCCTCACCCATGAAATGACTTGTATTCTGTTGAAGCTGGCTGCCTCCTCACCCATGAAATGACTTGTATTCTGTTGAAGCTGGCTGCCTCCTCACCCATGAACTGATTTGTATTATGTTGAAGCTGGCTGCCTCCTCACACATGAAATTACTTGTATTCTGTTGAAGCTGGCTGGCTCCTCACCCATGAAGTTACTTGTATTTTGTTGAAGCTGGCTGCCTCCTCACCCATGAAATGACTTGTATTTTGTTGAAGCTGGCTGCCTCCTCACCCATGAAGTGACTTGTATTCTGTTGAAGCTGGCTGCCTCCTCACCCATGAGGTGACTTGTATTCTGTTTTAGCTGGCTGCCTCCTCACCCATGAAATGACGTGTATTCTGTTGAAGCTGGCTGCCTCCTCACCCATGAAATGACTTGTATTCTGTTGTAGCTGGCTGCCTCCTCACCCATGAAATGATGTGTATTCTGTTGAAGCTGGCTGCCTCCTCACCCATGAAATGACTTGTATTCTGTTGTAGCTGGCTGCCTCCTCACCCATGAAGTGACTTGTATTCTGTTGAAGCTGGCTGCCTCCTCACCCATGAAATGACTTGTATTTTGTTGAAGCTGGCTGCCTCCTCACCCATGAAGTGACTTGTATTCTGTTGAAGCTGGCTGCCTCCTCACCCATGAAATGACTTGTATTTTGTTGAAGCTGGCTGCCTCCTCACCCATGAAATGACTTGTATTCTGTTGTAGCTGGCTGCCTCCTCACCCATGAAGTGACTTGTATTCTGTTGAAGCTGGCTGTCTCCTCACCCATGAAGTGACTTGTATTCTGTTGAAGCTGGCTGCCTCCTCACCCATGAAATGATGTGTATTCTGTTGAAGCTGGCTGCCTCCTCACCCATGAAATGACTTGTATTCTGTTGTAGCTGGCTGCCTCCTCACCCATGAAGTGACTTGTATTCTGTTGAAGCTGGCTGCCTCCTCACCCATGAAATGACTTGTATTCTGTTGAAGCTGGCTGCCTCCTCACCCATGAAATGACTTGTATTTTGTTGAAGCTGGCTGCCTCCTCACCCATGAAGTGACTTGTATTCTGTTGAAGCTGGCTGCCTCCTCACCCATGAAATGACTTGTATTTTGTTGAAGCTGGCTGCCTCCTCACCCATGAAATGATGTGTATTCTGTTGTAGCTGGCTGCCTCCTCACCCATGAAGTGACTTGTATTCTGTTGAAGCTGGCTGTCTCCTCACCCATGAAGTGACTTGTATTCTGTTGAAGCTGGCTGCCTCCTCACCCATGAAATGATGTGTATTCTGTTGAAGCTGGCTGCCTCCTCACCCATGAAATGACTTGTATTCTGTTGTAGCTGGCTGCCTCCTCACCCATGAAGTGACTTGTATTCTGTTGAAGCTGGCTGCCTCCTCACCCATGAAATGACTTGTATTCTGTTGAAGCTGGCTGCCTCCTCACCCATGAAATGACTTGTATTTTGTTGAAGCTGGCTGCCTCCTCACCCATGAAGTGACTTGTATTCTGTTGAAGCTGGCTGCCTCCTCACCCATGAAATGACTTGTATTTTGTTGAAGCTGGCTGCCTCCTCACCCATGAAATGACTTGTATTCTGTTGTAGCTGGCTGCCTCCTCACCCATGAAATGACTTGTATTCTGTTGAAGCTGGCTGTCTCCTCACCCATGAAGTGACTTGTATTCTGTTGAAGCTGGCTGCCTCCTCACCCATGAAGTGACTTGTATTCTGTTGAAGCTGGCTGCCTCCTCACCCATGAAATGACTTGTATTCTGTTGAAGCTGGCTGCCTCCTCACCCATGAAATGACTTGTATTCTGTTGAAGCTGGCTGCCTCCTCACCCATGAAGTGACTTGTATTCTGTTGAAGCTGGCTGCCTCCTCACCCATGAAATGACTTGTATTCTGTTGAAGCTGGCTGCCTCCTCACCCATGAAATGACTTGTATTCTGTTGAAGCTGGCTGCCTCCTCACCCATGAAATGACTTGTATTCTGTTGAAGCTGGCTGCCTCCTCACCCATGAACTGATTTGTATTATGTTGAAGCTGGCTGCCTCCTCACACATGAAATTACTTGTATTCTGTTGAAGCTGGCTGGCTCCTCACCCATGAAGTTACTTGTATTTTGTTGAAGCTGGCTGCCTCCTCACCCATGAAATGACTTGTATTTTGTTGAAGCTGGCTGCCTCCTCACCCATGAAGTGACTTGTATTCTGTTGAAGCTGGCTGCCTCCTCACCCATGAGGTGACTTGTATTCTGTTTTAGCTGGCTGCCTCCTCACCCATGAAATGACGTGTATTCTGTTGAAGCTGGCTGCCTCCTCACCCATGAAATGACTTCTATTCTGTTGTAGCTGGCTGCCTCCTCACCCATGAAATGATGTGTATTCTGTTGAAGCTGGCTGCCTCCTCACCCATGAAATGACTTGTATTCTGTTGTAGCTGGCTGCCTCCTCACCCATGAAATGACTTGTATTCTGTTGAAGCTGGCTGCCTCCTCACCCATGAAGTGACTTGTATTCTGTTGATGCTCGCTGCCTCCTCACCCATGAAATGACTTGTATTTTGTTGAAGCTGGCTGCCTCCTCACCCATGAAATGACTTGTATTCTGTTGTAGCTGGCTGCCTCCTCACCCATGAAATGACTTGTATTCTGTTGAAGCTGGCTGCCTCCTCACCCATGAAATGACTTGTATTCTGTTGAAGCTGGCTGCCTCCTCACCCATGAACTGATTTGTATTATGTTGAAGCTGGCTGCCTCCTCACACATGAAATGACTTGTATTCTGTTGAAGCTGGCTGGCTCCTCACTCATGAAATTACTTGTATTTTGTTCAAGCTGGCTGCCTCCTCACCCATGAAATGACTTGTATTTTGTTGAAGCTGGCTGCCTCCTCACCCATGAAGTGACTTGTATTCTGTTGAAGCTGGCTGCCTCCTCACCCATGAAGTGACTTGTATTCTGTTTTAGCTGGCTGCCTCCTCACCCATGAAATGACGTGTATTCTGTTGAAGCTGGCTGCCTCCTCACCCATGAAATGACTTGTATTCTGTTGTAGCTGGCTGCCTCCTCACCCATGAAGTTACTTGTATTCTGTTGAAGCTGGCTGCCTCCTCACCCATGAGGTGACTTGTATTCTGTTGAAGCTGAACTAGAGAAAGAAGTAGAAACCTGCTTGGCTCCATATCCAGTCCTCTTTCCTCCCTAATCACTTCCAATGGGACTCTACTCTGCCTGTCTGTTAGCTAACCACGACTGTAGTCTGCACACTGTCGCTGACTTAGCAAAAGTGGACTGTATGACTTTAACCGCCACATTCTCTGTGTGTAATATTAGTGATTAATAGTAGTGTGTAATATTAATGTGTAATATTAGTGTGTAATAGTAGTGAGTAATAGTAGTGTGTAATATTAGTGTGTAATATTAGTGAGTAATAGTAGTGTGTAATATTAGTGAGTAATAGTAGTGTGTAATATTAGTGAGTAATACTAGTGAGTAATAGTAGTGTGTAATAGTAGTGTGTAATAGTAGTGTGTAATATTAGTGTGTAATATTAGTGTGTAATATTAGTGAGTAATATTAGTGAGTAATACTAGTGAGTAATAGTAGTGAGTAATAGTAGTGTGTAATATTAGTGAGTAATAGTAGTGTGTAATATTAGTGAGTAATATTAGTGAGTAATACTAGTGAGTAATAGTAGTGAGTAATATTAGTGAGTAATAGTAGTGAGTAATAGTAGTGTGTAATATTAGTGAGTAATACTAGTGAGTAATAGTAGTGAGTAATAGTAGTGTGTAATAGTAGTGTGTAATATTAGTGTGTAATATTAGTGAGTAATATTAGTGAGTAATACTAGTGAGTAATAGTAGTGAGTAATATTAGTGAGTAATAGTAGTGAGTAATATTAGTGAGTAATATTAGTGAGTAATATTAGTGAGTAATACTAGTGAGTAATAGTAGTGAGTAATAGTAGTGTGTAATATTAGTGAGTAATAGTAGTGAGTAATATTAGTGAGTAATATTAGTGAGAGCGTACTGGATGAGGAATTTATAGATGTATGACAGAAGTCAAACATCTCCCAACACTAGACTAGTTGGTTTTAGAAGAGTGATGTGAATTAATTTATATTGCTTCTGTGTGACCAGACTGGCTGTTGACTTGAATGTTTTGAGCCGCTAGATATTCAGTTATAAAGGTCAAAGGAAATAGAAGAGAGCGTTAGGGCTGTGAGCAACCTTCAGCTGACATATCCCCCTCCTTCCGTTAGCTCACACATGTCAAACTCATTCCACGGAGGGCCGGGTGTCTGCAGGTTTTCGCTCCACCCTTGTACTTGATTGATGAATTAAGGTCACTAATTAGTAAGGAACTCCCCTCACCTGGTTGTCTAGGTCTTATTGAAAGGAAAAACCAACCACCAGCAGACACTCGGCCCTCCGTGGAATGAGCTTGACCCCCTGCTCTACATGTTCCTCTCTCTCCCCTGTAAAGGCCACATGTGATGTTGGATCTGAGAGAGACAGAGAAATAGAAAGAGAGAGGGAGGGGGCGAGTTTTTTTCTTTTTCTTTGATGCGTGCTGATTTACTAACCGGTTTCCGCTGAATGCATTTTTACTGTTGCCATGCCAACAGATGGACGGACCAGAATGCTTTGTGGTGTGGTGTTGTTGAGGGCCAGGCAGGAGTCAGGACATGGTACTCTAGTAATGCAGTGTAGTGGCCAGATATCAGCCTAGTATTGTATGGTATTGATATATCAGCCTTTAACTAACTAATTGTTCCTTATCTATCTATATACAGTGAGTGAAAAAAGTATTTGATCCCCTGCTGATTTTGTACATTTGCCCACTGACAAAGAAATTATCTGTCTATAATTTTAATGGTAGGTTTATTTGAACAGTGAGAGACAGAATAACAACAAAAAAATCCAGAAAAACACATGCCAAAAAAGTTATCAATTGATTTGCATTTTAATGAGGGAAATAAGTATTTGACCCCCTCTCAATCAGAAAGATTTCTGGCTCCCAGGTGTCTTTTATACAGGTAACGAGCTGAGATTAGGAGCACACTCTTAAAGGGAGTTTCTCAAACTAGACACGCTAATGTATTTGTCCTCTTGCTCAGTTGTGCACCGGGGCCTCCCACTCCTCTTTCTATTCTGGTTAGAGCCAGTTTGCGCTGTTCTGTGAAGGGAGTAGTACACAGCATTGTACGAGATCTTCAACTGATGGTTGCTGATAATGGGCCTCTGTACGCCTATGTAGATATTCCATTAAAAATCTGCCGTTTCCAGCTACAATAGCCATTTACAACATTAACAATATCTACACTGTATTTCTGATCAATTTGATGTTATTTTAATAGACAAAAAAAAAAAAAATATTTCGAAAACAAGCTTGTAGAGACATACCCCCAAGAGACTTGCAGCAGTAATTGCTGCAAAAGGTGGCTCTACAAACTATTGACTTTGGGGATGTTAATAGTTATGCAAAAGTGGATTTTCCCAAGGTTGCTGTTGACGCATATCCCACGGTAGTTATCGGGGTCAAATTTGTTTCCACTTTTGTGGATTGGGGTGATCAGTCCTTGGTTCCAAATATTGGGGGAAATGCCAGAGCTAAGGATGATGTTAAAGAGTTTAAGTATAGCTATTTGGAATTCGTGGTCTGTATATTTTATCATTTCATTTTAGGATACCATCAACACCACAGGCCTTTTTGGGTTGGAGGGTTTGCATTTTGTCCTGTAGTTCATTCAATGTAATTGGAGAATCCAGTGGGTTCTGGTAGTCTTTAGTAGTTGATTCTAAGATTTGTATTTGATCATTTATATGTTTTTGCTGTTTATTCTTTGTTATAGGGCCAAAAAGATTGGAGAAGTGGTTTATCCATACATCTCCGTTTTGGATAGATAACTCTTCTCTCCTCTCTTCTTTCCTCTTCTCTCTCTTTCTCTCTCTCTTTCTCTCTTCTCCTCTCTCTCTTCTCCTCTCTCTCTCCTCTCTCTCTCTCTCATCTCATCTCGTCTCCTCTCTCTCTCTCTCTCTCTCTTCTCCTCTCTCTCTCTCTCTCTCTCTCTCTCTCTCTATAGTCCTGATGGGAGCTACCTGGCAGCAGGATCAGCAGACGGAGCCGTCTATATCTGGAACGTCAACTCTGGCAACCTGGAGACACGTCTACCGGACGTGCACAGGTAAGACAACTGGACTAGACTGGACTGGACTGGACGGTCCACAGTCTGCCTGTCTGTCCTCTGAACCCCACCCAGCCTCTGAGGACCTTAGCTTTTAGCAGCTATCCTCAGCCCTACTGGGCTCTGGCCAACACAGCATCAATTAGGTTTATGACACTTCCTCTTTGCAGTGTGTTGTAGAGGCTATTAGTGGACTAGAGAATGTTACAGGCTATTAGATAGTGTTTACATTAGCAGAAGGGGAGAGAGCAGGGTTCTGTCAGCAGAAGGGGAGAGAGCAGGGTTCTGTCCGCAGGAGGAGAGAGCATGGTTCTGTCCGCAGGAGGAGAGAGCATGGTTCTGTCAGCAGGAAGGCAGAGCAGGGTTCTGTCCGCAGGAGGGGAGAGCAGGGTTCTGTCAGCAGGAGGGCAGAGCAGGGTTCTGTCAGCAGGAGGGCAGAGCAGGGTTCTGTCAGCAGGAGGGCAGAGCAGGGTTCTGTCAGCAGGAGGGCAGAGCAGGGTTCTGTCAGCAGGAGGGCAGAGCAGGGTTCTGTCAGCAGGAGGGGAGAGTAGGGTTCCGTCAGCAGGAGGGCAGAGCAGGGTTCTGTCAGCAGGAGGGCAGAGCAGGGTTCTGTCAGCAGGAGGGGCAGGGTTCTGTCAGCGGGAGGGCAGAGCAGGGTTCTGTCAGCGGGAGGGCAGAGCAGGGTTCTGTCAGCGGGAGGGCAGAGCAGGGTTCTGTCTGCAGGAGGGCAGAGCAGGGTTCTGTCCGCAGGAGGGTAGAGCATGGTTCTGTCAGCAGGAGGGGAGAGCAGGGTTCTGTCAGCAGGAGGGCAGAGCAGGGTTCTGTCAGCAGGAGGGGAGAGTAGGGCAGAGCATGTACTGAACGTTGGCCGTGTCCATGGTGTCTGTGGAGCTGCCTGAACGTTGGCCGTGTCCATGGTGTCTGTGGAGCTGCCTGAATGTTGGCCGTGTCTGTTCTTAGTGTTGTTTGTGGCTCTGCTCTGTTTGGTTCCCAGTGAATCCAACAGTCCATCTGCTCTGTTTGGTTCCCAGTGAATCCAACAGTCCATCTGCTCTGTTTGGTTCCCAGTGAATCCAACAGTCCATCTGCTCTGTTTGGTTCCCAGTGAATCCAACAGTCCATCTGCTCTGTCACTTCTAGAAAAACACTGAGTGAGTCAAAGCTGTTCCACTGTCTGTCTGGTGGACGGATGGATGCACATTGAAGTGATTGAGATTTAGGCGACGTCCAGAGCCCTATGGCACCCTCCTCCCAATGCCGTGCACTACTTTTGGCCAGAGCCCTATGATGGCGGCAGGTAGCTTAGTGGTTAAGAGCGTAGTGCCAGTAACCGAAAGGTCGCTGGTTCTAATCCCCAAGCCGACTAGGTGGAAAAATCTGTCGATGTGCCCTTGAGCAAGGCACTTAACCCTAATTTGCTCCTGTAAGTCGCTCTGGATAAGAGCCTCTGCTAAATTACTTTAAAATAAAATAAATGTTTTGGCTAAGAAGAATAGGTTGTCATTTCAGATCAGCCATTATTGACTGTCCTCCTTCTCCTCGGCAGTTCCTCCATCAACGCCGTGGCCTGGTCCGGGTCCGGGGAGTACGTGGTCAGTGTGGACAAGAGCCGGCGTGCCGTCCTCTGGAGCGACATTTAAACAGTCTGGTCGACTGGCCAGCCTCAGACCCATTTGAACATCAGTCTGGGGTTAGGGTTAGACTGGCCATCTGAACATTGGCTGAGAGAACACAGAACACAGAACACAGAACACATTGGATGTTTGTCTCCCTCCTGCTACCAGTCTGACAGAACGGATGGGGATTGGTATCCAACTGTTGCCTGGCTGCCGATCCACATCATTCAGGCCAAACGCCACGCCCACTAACGTTTCTCCTCCACCATGAGGCTGGATTGGCTTCCTCCCCGAAGACTTCTCGAATGCCAACAGATTCAAACTGTTCTGATTGGTCCCAGAACCCAATGGGTTGGACCAGAGCCCACATGATTCATGAATTATGTAATTTTGATGTCAGCACAAACGACTTCTAGGATGGCAGGTTCAGACTGATGTGCGGCGCGATCGATAGAGCAGCAGAATTCAATTCAGTCGTCAGATCTGACACATTCTGCTATTTTCCTTTTGTATTTAACTTTTCTAAGGGAAACTGGCAGAAAATCATAGATACAATATCTGTCTGTCAAAAAGTCAATAGTTTCATTACATGTTATTATGCTGAATATGTGCTAGCGTTCATTTTATTCTCTCCATGATGTCTTTCCCGAGGTAAATGGGTAGAAAGCATTGTATGGCGTCATAATGGTGCCAACACAACGCCATAGTGTTGCTTTGCCTTTTTGTAAACAAGCATTTGCTCTGTCAAAACAACGTTTTTTACTTAGTGGTTCAAAATAATGTGGCGTCTAACCATTGGTATTGGGGAATGAAAAGCGTGAAACTAATACGCTAGTTATTCAGGGATAAGGATTAATATCCTCTGCTTGAAACAATTGGAGGTAAAGCTTCATGCTCATTGCTGGCTTACAGTTAGGGTTACACTGGTCTGCTGGTCTAATAGGTGTTACTGTTATTAAATGTTGGGAGGGTTTTAGTCTAAGCTACATGACACATGTAGAGGGCTGAACGGAATAGGGTTATCTAGAGGGTTCTAAAGGGAATAGGGTTATCTAGAGGGTTCTAAAGGGAATAGGGTTATCTAGAGGGTTCTAAAGGGAATAGGGTTATCTAGAGGGTTCTAAAGGGAATAGGGTTATCTAGAGGGTTCTAAAGGGAATAGGGTTATCTAGAGGGTTCTAAAGGGAATAGGGTTATCTAGAGGGTTCTAAAGGGAATAGGGTTATCTAGAGGGTTCTAAAGGGAATAGGGTTATCTAGAGGGTTCTAAAGGGAATATGGTTATCTAGAGGGTTCTAAAGGGAATAGGGTTATCTAGAGGGTTCTAAAGGGAATAGGGTTATCTAGAGGGTTCTAAAGGGAATAGGGTTATCTTGAGGGTTCTAAAGGGAATAACCAGCTGTTGCTGGTCTGTTATTGAGAACATTACAACTTTACCATTCCTCACGGGGGGTATTTGCTTGGCTTTTGCCCACATTCAGTAATACAGCTGGACAACATTTAGCGTTTAGTCATAAAATCATATTGAGGTGTTAGTGATGAGAGCAATAAACCTGCCTCTCTCTCTCTCTCTCTCTCTCTCTCTCTCTCTCTCTCTCTCCTCTCTGTCTCTCTCTGTCTGTCTCTCTCTCTCTCTCTCTCTCTCGTGTGTGCCTCTATGCAGTTATACTCAGTGATTCAGATTAAAATGCTGAGTTGCATTCAGCAGCCGTTTGGCCTCTCAGCTTCAGTCCTCAGTCTAACACACTCTTCATGTAAAGCTGAGATAGACACCATTTTACTTCTCGAATTCCTCCGTGTTACTCATTCACATAGACGTTGTGTAAACCGTGTTACTCATTCACATATACGTTGTGTAAACCGTGTTACTCATTCACATATAGACGTTGTGTAAACCGTGTAAAACATTAATATTGTCTTCAGTATATACAGTTCACTCTGCATTTTATAATGATGTGGTGATAACGTCTTTTAACTAACAGATGGTCAGTTAAAACACAGTTAGTGGTTATGTTTCAAATGTTCTGGATTAACTAAAGGGATATCCTTGTGTGTGTGTCTATGGGAAGGGAATCAGGGAGGGTATGGGATATGCCATGTAAATGCTGTATTATATAGGGTATGGGGGGCCAGTATGAACTCACTAATTGGAAGTCGCTCTGGATAAGAGCATCTGCTAAATGACTAAAATGTTAACTGGATCACACATTTTTTTTATGCCATACAGCCAGGTCCAAAACTATTGTCCCCCTTGATAAAGATGAGCAAAAAATTATAATACAATAAATAATACTAATACAATTTCTCAGAGAAAGAGATTTGTTTAACAAGTAATACTTTTTTTTTCCCAACAAAAAGAAACGGGTCAAGATTATTGCTAAGCCTGTTTTCATAAACCTTTCAATACCTCACCTTGGGAGGATAACGGCACTGAGCCAGAAAGATTCTGTGTGGATGAATGGTCTAAGAGCCCTCCCAATGTGTTCTCCAATTTCATAAAACATTTTAGAAAAAGGCTCATTGCCGTTATTCTCACAAGGTGAGGTATTGAAAGGTATTGAAAATGGGTGCCAACAATTTTGACCCCTATCTTTTTGAGAAAACGTTATATTACTTGTTAAACAAAATCTATTTCTCTCAGAAATTCCAATTGTATAAGATAATATATATACAGTGGCAAGAAAAAGTATGTGAACCCTTTGGAATTACCTGGATTTCTGCATAAATTGGTCATACAATTTGATCTGATCTTCATCTAAGTCACAACAACAGACAAGCACAGTCTGCTTAAACTGGTAACACACAAACAATTATACATTTCCATGTCTTTATTGAACACACCGGGTAAACATTCACAGTGCAGGGTGGGAAAAGTATGTGAACCCTTGGATTTAATAACTGGTTCTTCTGAAGCTATTCTGTTGTTGGTTTACTTCTGTGTTTTGGGTCGTTGTCCTGTTGCATCACCCAACTTCTGTTGAGCTTCAATTGGCGGACAGAAAGCCTTACATTCTCCTGCAGAATGTCTTCATAAACGTGGGAATTCATTTTTCCGTCGATGATAGCAAGCTGTCCAGGCCCTGAGGCAACAAAGCAGCCCCAAACCATGATGCTCCCTCCACCATACTTTACAGTTGGGATCAGGTTTTGATGTTGGTGTGCTGTGCCTTTTTTTTCACCACACATAGTGTTGTGTTCCTTCCTTCCAAACAACTCAACTTTAGTTTCATCTGTCCACAGAATATTTTGCCAGTAGCGCTGTGGAACATCCAGGTGCTCTTTTGCGAACTTCAGACCTGCAGCAATGTTTTTTTTTTGGACAGCAGTGGTTTCTTCCGTGGTGTCCTCCCATGAACACCATTCTTGTTTAGTGTTTTACGTATCGTAGACTCGTCAACAGAGATGTTAGCGTGTTCCAGAGATTTCTGTAAGTCTTTAGCTGGCACTCTAGGATTCTTCTTAACCTCGTTGAGCGTTCTGCGCTGTGCTCTTGCAGTCATCTCTGCAGGATGGCCACTCCTAGGGAGACTTGCAACAGTGCTGAACTTTCTCCATTTATAGACAATTTGTCTTACCGTTGACTGATGAACATCAAGACTCCTGAGTGGCGCAGTGGTCTAAGGCACTGCATCGCAGTGCTAACTGTGCCACTAGAGATCCTGGTTCGAATCCAGGCTCTGTCGCAGCCGGCCGCGACCGGGAGACTCATGGGCGGCGCACAATTGGCCCAGCATCGTCCAGGGTAGGGGAGGGAATGGCCGGCAGGGATGTAGCTCAGTTGATAGAGCATGGCGTTTGCAACGCCAGGGATGTGGGTTTGATTCCCACGGGGGGCCAGTATAAAAAAATATATATGTATTCACTAACTGTAAGTCGCTCTGGATAAGAACGTCTGCTAAATGACTAAAATGTAAATGTAAAATGTTATAATTTTGTAACCCTTTCCAGCTTTATGCAAGTCAACAATTCTTCTGAGATCTATTTTGTTCGAGGCATGGTTCCCATCAGGCAGTGCTTCTTGTGAATAGCGAACTCAAATTCTGTGAGTGTTTTTTTATAGGGCAGCTCTAACCAACATCTCCAATCTCGTCTGATTGGTTGGACTCCAGGTCAGCTGACTCCTGACTCCAATCAGCTTTGGAGAAGTCATTAGCCTACGGGGGTTCACATATTTTTTCCAACCTACACTATGAATGTTTAAATGATGTATTCAATATAGACAAGAAAAATTCAATAATTTATGAGTTTAAGCAGACTGTGCTTGTCTGTTGTTGTGACTTAGATGAAGATCAGATCAGATTGTATGACCAATTTATGCAGAAATCCAGGTAATTCCAAAGGGTTCACATACTTTTTCTTGCCACTGTATGTATATATATATATATATATATATACACTACCAGTCAAAAGTTTGGACACCTACTCATTCAAGGGTTTTTCTTTATTTTTACTATTTTTTACATTGTAGAATAATAGTGAAGACATCAAAACTATGAAATAACACATATGGAATCATGTAGTAACCAAAAACAGTGTTAAACAAATCAAAATATATGTTATATTTGAGATTCTTCAATTAGCCACCCTTTGCCTTGATGACAGCTTTGTACACTCTTGGCATTTTCTCAACCAGCTTCATGAGGTAGTCACCTGGAATGCATTTCAATTAACAGGTGTGCCTTCTTAAAAGTTAATTTGTGGAATTTCTTTCCTTCTTAATGCTTTTGAGCCAATCAGTTGTGTTGTGACAAGGTAGGGGGGTATACAGAAGATAGCCCTATTTGGTAAAAGACCAAGTCCATCATTACTTTAAGACATGAAAGTCAGTCAATCTGGAAAATGTCAAAAACGTTGAAAGTTTCTTCAAGTGCAGTTGCAAAAACCATCAAGCGCTATGATGAAACTGGCTCTCATGAGGACCGCCACAGGAATGGAAGACCCAGAGTTACCTCTGCTGCAGAGGATAAGTTCATTAGAGTTACCAGCCTCAGAAATTGCAGCCCAAATAAATGCTTCACAGAGTTCGTCACAGACACATCTCAACATCAACTGTTCAGAGGGGACTGTGTGAATCAAGCATTCATGGTCGAATTGCTGCAAAGAAACCACTACTAAAGGACACCAATAAGAAGAAGAGACCTGCTTGGTGCAAGAAACACGAGCAATCTGGTCTGACGAGTCCAAATTTGAGATTTTTGGTTCCAACCGCAGTGTCTTTGTGAGATGCGGTGTGGGTGAACGGATGATCTCCGCATGTGTAGTTCCCACCGTAAAGCATGGAAGAGGAGGCGTTATGGTGTGAGGGTGCTTTGCTGGTGACACTGTCTGTGATTTATTTAGAATTCAAGGCACACTTAACCAGCATGGCTACCACAGCATTCTGCAGTGATACAGCATCCCATTTGGTTTGGGCTTAGTGGGACTATCATTTG